AAGTGTTGGTGCAAAAACCTACCTCTACTATTGATACTGAGGTGAAACTCATAGGGGAGTCTCATCACACATACTAATAACCCCCCCATGAGGTTCAGATCAATACAATATGCCTAGATAGGTTTTTCATGCCTTTGTATGCTTCATTTTCACTGGAAATTGGGCAGAAAAGCCTGTTTTTGAATTGTTGGTGCAAAAACCAACCTCTACTATTGATACTGAGGTGAAACTCATTGGTGAGTCTCATCACACATACTACTAACCCCCACATGAGTTTCAGATCAACACAATATGCCTAGATAGGTTTTTCATGCCTTTGTATGCTTCATTTTCACTGGAAATTGGGCAGAAAAGCCTGTTTTTGAATTGTTGGTGCAAAAACCATTCTCTACTATTGATACTGAGGTGAAACTCATTGGTGAGTCTCATCACACATACTACTAACCCCCACATGAGTTTCAGATCAACACAATATGCCTAGATAGGTTTTTCATGCCTTTGTATGCTTCATTTTCACTGGAAATTGGGCAGAAAAGCCTGTTTTTGAATTGTTGGTGCAAAAACCATTCTCTACTATTGATACTGAGGTGAAACTCATTGGTGAGTCTCATCACACATACTACTAACCCCCACATGAGTTTCAGATCAATACAATATGCCTAGATAGGTTTTTCATGCCTTTGTATGCTTCATTTTCACTGGAAATTGGGCAGAAAAGCCTGTTTTTGAAGTGTTGGTGCAAAAACCTACCTCTACTATTGATACTGAGGTGAAACTCATAGGGGAGTCTCATCACACATACTAATAACCCCCACATGAGTTTCAGATCAATAAAATATGCCTAGATAGGTTTTTCATGCCTTTGTATGCTTCATTTTCACTGGAAATTGGGCAGAAAAGCCTGTTTTTGAAGTGTTGGTGCAAAAACCAACCTCTACTATTGATACTGAGGTGAAACTCATAGGGGAGTCTCATCACACATACTACTAACCCCCACATGAGTTTCAGATCAATACAATATGCCTAGATACGGTTTTGATGCCTTTGTATGCTTCATTTTCACTGGACATTGGGCAGAAAAGCCTGTTTTTGAATTGTTGGTGCAAAAACCAACCTCTACTATTGATACTGAGGTGAAACTCATAGGGGAGTCTCATCACACATACTACTAACCCCCACATGAGTTTCAGATCGATAAAATATGCTTAGATAGGTTTTTCATGCCTTTGTATGCTTCATTTTCACTGGAAATTGGGCAGAAAAGCCTGTTTTTGAATTGTTGGTGCAAAAACCAACCTCTACTATTGATACTGAGGTGAAACTCATTGGTGAGTCTCATCACACATACTACTAGCCCCCACATGAGTTTCAGATCAATACAATATGCCTAGATAGGTTTTTCATGCCTTTGTATGCTTCATTTTCACTGGAAATTGGGCAGAAAAGCCTGTTTTTGAAGTGTTGGTGCAAAAACCTACCTCTACTATTGATACTGAGGTGAAACTCATAGGGGAGTCTCATCACACATACTAATAACCCCCCCATGAGTTTCAGATCAATACAATATGCCTAGATAGGTTTTTCATGCCTTTGTATGCTTCATTTTCACTGGAAATTGGGCAGAAAAGCCTGTTTTTGAATTGTTGGTGCAAAAACCAACCTCTACTATTGATACTGAGGTGAAACTCATTGGTGAGTCTCATCACACATACTACTAACCCCCACATGAGTTTCAGATCAACACAATATGCCTAGATAGGTTTTTCATGCCTTTGTATGCTTCATTTTCACTGGAAATTGGGCAGAAAAGCCTGTTTTTGAATTGTTGGTGCAAAAACCATTCTCTACTATTGATACTGAGGTGAAACTCATTGGTGAGTCTCATCACACATACTACTAACCCCCACATGAGTTTCAGATCAATAAAATATGCCTAGATAGGTTTTTAATGCCTTTGTATGCTTCATTTTCACTGGAAATTGGGCAGAAAAGCCTGTTTTTGAAGTGTTGGTGCAAAAACCTACCTCTACTATTGATACTGAGGTGAAACTCATAGGGGAGTCTCATCACACATACTAATAACCCCCACATGAGTTTCAGATCAATACAATATGCCTAGATAGGTTTTTCATGCCTTTGTATGCTTCATTTTCACTGGTAATTAGATAGAAATGCCAGCTCTTACTATTTATTTGCAAAAACTAACCTCTACTTGTGATTTTGACCTGAAACAGTTCTGTGTAGTTATGCGACGTTGGTTTGGCTCAATTTACACACATATATGTTGGGATGGTATCTATGTTTCATACAATGTTGGCCATGGTTGTGTACAAATAGTAAACACCTTCATTATATAGATCACATATGGCCAGTACAGGAAACTGAACACTTCATCGAATTCGGAAACACTGTGCATTTATCGCGTAGGCGAAACATAGGAAACAGGCGGGAAAGCTGAATGTTGGGCTTGTTGCGACGTGGCATCTTGCAGGGGGTTTGTCTGCGCGTTTTTCGGGCGCGAACTTGTAAGCCTTTATCTGGCGCCCATTTGAACGTGGCCGCGCAGAGATCTGGCGACCTCATTCGCCACTAATATTTTTATCGGGCTGCCCAAGCGAAACGTCTGATACGACCTCTTCACACGTACCATCTGGTTGTGCGGTGCAGACGGACGCAACACTGGCCTCTGTGTAGATAAGGATTCGGGTTTGAAGAGCCACGTGTCCGTTCTACAGAACATCTGCGTCAACTCAGGTATGTGATTTGTGGACGCAGATGTGGAGCAGATTCCCCTACCACGACGCACCAACAAAATCAGGCCGCGCAGCAGACTCTTTTAGATAGTTCGCATCAGTTGTAATACCCAAATTTTAGCAAAGGGGTTTGCTGCTTTAGTGACAAGGTTCTAAGTAGAGTTGCAACACCATAAACGGTACAAACGATTTTGCGCGGTAGAACACGACCTCACGCACTTCATCTCTGCTCGATCCCGAAAGACCAAATCCTTGTATGCTGGTTTCGGTCATCGACCAAGCTCATTTTCCCACCCGTTTTTCAAACGCTCATAGAGCAGAGACCACCAGGACTAGTCTTCAAGTAGCGAGTGTCAGTGGTTCCATGTGCTATAGTGAAGCAACGCAGAGACGGAGTTCCGTGCCTAGATAAAGTCTGTCTCAGCCCGACCTGCGACTGCGCATCGAGTAGAGGAATTACTAGGTCGAGACCACCATGGACGACCTACCTCTGCTTAGGGGCTGCGGCTTGAAGGTTAGCATAAACAATGATGACTACGACACCTTAAACGGTCAGCAGAGAGAGTGGTCGGAGGACCTCCTAAACTTCTCCATCCTGTAAGTATAGCGTAAGCCTTGTCTTTCTGCAATTTGTGGACATCTCTGTCCTACTCACCAACGCCACGTCCACAAACCCTGACAAATGCTATACTAACCAACATCTGCCATGTCTTATCCGTGCAGGGCATTAACCAAGAATATGCTCCCAATACAGGCGCGCCAGAAGATTTCCATTGTCTCCGCATCCTTCCTCCGTAAGCGGATGAAGCTCATTCAACCGAAAGCTATATCGAAGAAGCAAAATGAAGGGTTCCTCTCCAAAGACGCCCTCGTGTTCCCCTTGTGGTCCAAGTAAGTAATATCTCGTTTTGGCCCGCCGCCTGTCTGGTTGAATAGTCATATAACAATCCGCTGCTTCTATGTGCAGATTGAATAGCGAAACTAAAGTCATTATTAGTCTTCTCGTTCTCATTGCTCCGAAAGATCTCATCTCACAAAATAGAGGGCCCGGCCGTACACGCGTCATATACTTCGATCCCAAGAGCGGTGTCCCCACGCACTCTCACGGCGATTATGCAGATGAGGTTTTATCGTAAGTATGGCTGCAGATTTGCACTTCAACGGAGTTGGTATAGTATTCTAAAAATGTCGTTGTGACTGTCTACAGGTGGTTGCGGGAGCAATTACTTGTTGAGTACACCGCCTTCATTGAAGGCAACAGCCGCAGCGACAAATTGATGGTTAGCAGGATGAAAACGCGGCTGCAAGATCTGTATCTCCAATTTCCAGGGGGGGGTGAGTTTTTTCATCTGATCCGATATAGTATTGTGAGTTTACAATCGATTAAATTAACGCACCGCTAACTAACGATTTATGATCTCCCTGCTGGCAGATGACGAAAAATCTCGGATGGGCACAACCCGGTTCGGGCCTTCAGGTCGCCCACGCATGGACAAAGGTGCTTGAGTTTTGGGACGAGATTCTACACCTTCATAGTGAGGAGCCGTTTGTAACCCTCGGCTCGCGCACAAAGGATAAGGTACGGGACTGGCTTGTAGGAGAGTGTGACTGGCTATTCACTGTGCGCCTCGACGAAAACGAGGATGAGACAGCAGCCGACGGCAATGCTAGTGGGGCGGGTGAAGTGGATGGCACAGACGGCGAAGCGCAGATGGAGGTGACGGACGGAGGGATTGCGAGAGAGGGGGGCTTAGGACTGACTGAGGAAGCGGCGAGTGTTGAATTCGAATGGCAGAATCAACAGAATGAGAGCGCCCACGAGAACTCGCGGTCAGCCGTAGAGCAGGAGCCATCTAAAATGGTATACGTGCGCAGAGGTACAACGTCACTGCAGTGTCGAGCTAATCTAGCAGCAGAGGCGGTTGGAGAGGTGGGTGCGCCAGCAGAGAGGGTGACGATAGAGCTAGAGGCTGTAGAAGGCGGGGTTGCTGTAGATTTGCCCCGCAGCGAGCATGAAACTAGGCGGCGGCCGGAAGAGCCAGACCGAGAAATGGTTGAGGCAGCGATGGCTGAGGCTGCGGAGAAGGCGAATGCCATGGCAGAGGTGTTCAGACGCATAGATGATGTAAATCGTATTGTACGGGAGAGAGCGGAGAGGGCGAGGGCCGCAGAGGAGCAGAAAAGAAGGGCGGAGGAACGGCAGAGGGCAGATGGTTCGGAGAGAGAGTGAGGTCGGAGGCAGAGGCGATGGCTCGCAGAGAGGAGAAGGAGCGGCGTGAACAAGAGGCGGCAGAGCACGCGAAGGCGGCAGAGGAGCTGAAGAGAGTGGAGGAGGCACGCCAGAAGGCAGAGGCTGCAGCAAGAATGAGGGAGGAGGCAGAGGCGATGGTTCGCAGAGAGGAAGAGGAGCGGCGTGCAATAGAGGCGGCAGAGCACGCCAAGGCGTCAGAGGAGGTGAAGAGAGCGGAGGAGGCACAGAAGAGGGCAGAGGCTGCAGCGATAGTGAGGGCGGAGGCAGATGCAAACATACGCAGAGAGGAAGAGGAGCGGCGTGCAAAAGAGGCGGCAGAGCACGCGAAGGCGGCAGAGGAGCTGAAGAGAGTGGAGGAGGCACGCCCGAAGGCAGAGTCTGCAGCGAGAATGAGGGCGGAGGCAGAGGCGATGGTTCGCAGAGAGGAAGAGGCGCGGCGTGCAATAGAGGCGGCAGAGCACGCCAAGGCGGCAGAGAAGGTGAGTAGAGCCGAGGAGGAACGGCAAAGGGCCGAGGCTGCAACGAGATTGAGGGCGGAGGCAGATGCGATCGTACGCAGAGAGGAAGAGGAGCGGCGTGCAAAAGAGGCGGCAGCGCACGCGAAGGTGGCAGAGGAGCTGAAGAGAGTGGAGGAGGCACGGCAGAAGGCAGAGGATGCAGCGAGAATGAGGGCGGAGGCAGAGGCGATGGTTCGCAGAGAGGAAGAGGCGCGGCGTGCAATAGAGGCGGCAGAGCACGCCAAGGCGGCAGAGAAGGATAGTAGAGCCGAGGAGGAACGGCAAAGGGCCGAGGCTGCAACGAGATTGAGGGCGGAGGCAGATGCGATCGTACGCAGAGAGGAAGAGGAGCGGCGTGCAAAAGAGGCGGCAGCGCACGCGAAGGAGGCAGAGGAGCTGAAGAGAGTGGAGGAGGCACGGCAGAAGGCAGAGGATGCAGCGAGAATGAGGGCAGAGGCAGAGGCGATGGTTCGCAGAGAGGAAGAGGCGCGGCGAGCAATAGAGGCGGCAGAGCACGCCAAGGCGGCAGAGAAGGTGAAGAGAGCCGAGGAGGCACGGCAAAGGGCCGAGGCTGCAGCGAGAGTGAGGGCGGAGGCAGAGGCGATGGTTCAAAGAGAGGAAGAGGAGCGGCGTGCAAAAGAGGCGGCAGAGCACGCGAAGGCGGCAGAGGAGAATATGAGAGCCGAGGAGGCACGGCAAAGGGCCGAGGCTGCAGAGAGAGTGAGGGCGGAGGCAGAGGCGATCATACGCAGAGAGCAGGAGGCGCGGCGCGCAATAGAGGCGGCAGAGCACGCGAAGGCGGCAGAGGAGCTGAAGAGAGCGGAGGAGGCATGGCAGAGGGCAGTGGCAGAGGAGATGGTGAGGTTGGAGGCAGAGGCGATGTTTCGCAGAGAGGAAGAGGAGCGCCGTGCAAAAGAGGCAGCACAGCACGCCAAGGCGGCAGAGAAGGTGAGTATAGCCGAGGAGGAACGGCAAAGGGCCGAGGCTGCAGCGAGATTGAGGGCGGAGGCAGATGCGATCATACGCAGAGAGGAAGAGGAGCGGCGTTCAATAGAGGCGGCAGAGCACGCGAAGGCGGCAGAGGAGGTGAAGAGAGCCGAGGAGGCACGGCAAAGGGCCGAGGCTGCAGAGAGAGTGAGGGCGGAGGCAGAGGCGATCATACGCAGAGAGGAAGAGGAGCGGCGTGCAAAAGAGGCGGCAGCGCACGCGAAGGCGGCAGAGGAGGTGAAGACAGCCGAGGATGAACGGCAAAGGCCAGATGCTGCAGCGAGAGTGAGGGCGGAGGCAGATGCGATCTTACGCCGAGAGCAGGAGGCGCGGCGCGCAATAGAGGCGGCAGAGCACGCGAAGGCGGCAGAGGAGCTGAAGAGAGCGGAGGAGGCACGGCAGAGGGCAGTGGCAGAGGAGATGGTGAGGTCGGAGGCAGAGGCGATGTTTCGCAGAGAGGAAGAGGAGCGCCGTGCAATACTGGCGGCAGAGCACGCGAAGGCGGTAGAGGAGCTGAAGAGAGTGGAGGAGGCACGGCAGAGGGTAGAGGCTGCAGCGAGAGTGAGGGAGGAGGCAGAGGCGATGATTCGCAGAGAGAAGGAGGAGCGGCGTGCAATGGAGGCAGCAGAGCACGCGAAGGTGGCAGAGGAGCTGAAGAGAGAGGAGGCACGGCATAGGGCAGAGGCTGCGGCGAGAGTGAGGGCGGAGGCAGAGGCAATGGTACGCAGAGAGGAAGAGGAGCGGCGTGCATTAGAGGTGGCAGAGCACGCGAAGGCGGCAGAGGAGGTGAAGAGAGCCGAGGAGGAACGGCAAAGGGCCGAGGAAGCAGCGAGAGTGAGGGCGGAGGCAGATGCAATCATACGCAGAGAGGAGGAGGCGGGGCGTGCAATAGTGGCGGCAGAACTTTCGAAGGCGGCGGAGGAGCGGAAGAGAGTGGAGGAGGCACGGCAGAGGGCAGTGGCTGCAGCGAGAGTGAGGGCGGAGGCAGATGCGATGGTTCGCAGAGAGGAAGAGGCAAGACTTGCGACGGAGGAGGTGGACATTGCACTGGAGGAGGCGCGCATTGCTACGGAGGAGATGGACATTGCACGGGAGGAGGCGCGCTTAGCGACGGCGGATCCTCTGCAGGTGACAGGCGTTGAAATGGAGAGGGCGACGGCAAGCGTTGGTGAGCTGGTTATAGAGAGTGGTACTACCTCGACGGAGAACATGAGGGTAGACGGGGCAGAGAGGACAACTGCTGAGCTTGAGGAGATGCGCCGCAGATGGGCGGATGAATTGGAGTCGCGACAACGACGCGAAGAGGCTGCGATGCTGCGAGCCGCCGAAGAGCAGGAGCGTATAGAAGCAGAACAAGAGTTGGCAGCAGCATTCGAAAGGCTAAGAGCGCAACGAGAACACTGTAGGGCAGAGGGGGCGCGGGAGAGGCTACATGCTGCAGAGATGGCGAGGATAGAGGCCGAAGCGTTGCGACAAATACTGGCGGAAGACGCTCGGAGCGCAAGGGAGGAGAACGAGCAGGAAAGTGCAGCGGTTGAGCAGACAGCAAATGCGAAGACACAAGCTGTGGGGATTGCGGAGGGAGCGACGGCAATGGGAAATGCAGCCGGAGTCATGCAGGATGATACAGTACGGGCAATTGCCGAGGAGGAGCATAGGCTGGCCGACGCGGAGCGGAACAATGCAGCAGCTGCAGAGAGGGCGATGCAAGAGGTAGAAATGATGCGCCGTAGATGGGACGAGCAGATGGCCACAAGAGGAGCGAGGTTGCAAGCATCGAGGGTGCGGGTTGCGCGGGAGGAGAGAATGGCGGAGGTGGCGGCAGGCAACGACGTGGAGAGGGCTAGGCATGATGCAAGTGAACAGTTTCGTCACACCGGCCGCGATAGTGCTACGATGCAGAGGGATCGAGAGTGGGGAGAGGTCGAGACAATCCTGCAACAGAGCGTCATGCAGGGAGCCGCGATATCAGAGGAGACAGATGACGGGTTTGTAGAGGTGGGAACAGCCGGAGTAGGTGGAGGTGTGGGCGGAATGGCAGAGGTTATTCGACGTCTTACATACGTCGCCCAGGCGGTGGCCAGCAGCTCCGCACAACAAAATGCTAGGATTAGTGGCAACCTCCGCCAGCTCCAATCTGCTTGTACGCGCATTGCCCGGTGGACAGAGGACTACAACGAGGACGCTGAAAACATGTTGCGGGAATACAGAGAAGCTAAGGCGATAGCGATTATCGAACGGCAGAGGGCAGCGCAGACACGCACGGAAATCAACACTTCTATCCAAGGGCTCCATCGCAGAGTAGCAGAATCAGTCCAGAGTGCAGTGGCACGGGAGTATGTGACGTTATTATCATCGATGAAAGAGAATGTGAAAGAGGGGATGGATGCGGCAATGGGACGGGCGGCGCCGGAGGGAAGGCTTAGGGTGGTTCTACCCAACGACTACATGGAGACGATGAAGAAGGCTGTGGTCGCCAACGTCCAAGAAACACTTGCGGACGTCAGATCGGCGATGGCAGAGAATTGCCAGAGGCTAGAGACTCTGAAAACCGAAATCCTGGCAGCGGTGGATGAGAAGCTGTCTGGGAGGATGAAAGACGGCCACGTTCCAGTCACTACGCCGATCTCTACCAACACGCGTACTGGACATGGGGTGGAGCAGCCGAACTCGTCACGTGGTGCGCAGTTCTCTCACCCTTACACGTGTGACATATCCCCAGATGCTGCGCTCGCGGCAGCCGCGAACATGGTCGAGGGGTGGGGGTTTTGGAGCGAACAGGGTATGTTGGAGACGGATCGGCGTACACAGACGGGAAGGGACGAGATAATTGCCGGTGACAATGCAGAAGAACGGCGAGACGATGATGTAGGTCCAAATGCAGCTGAGGCGGGGCAAGCACGAGACCTGGACCTTGCAAGGACGATTGAAATACGTGCTAGGGAGGCGTCGGAGCAACAGCGTCGCGAGGTAGATGCAGAGCGGCAGAGAGCGAGGGAGGAGACGGAACGTAGTGTAAGAGAGGCGGAACAGGCGCGACTGAGGGACGAACAGGAACGGGTGGCTGCGCAGAAGCGAGCAGCGAGGGCAGCCGCACTTTCAATGGCAGAGGAACGACGGAAGCGCCTTGATGAGGACGCTGCGCGGGAGAGGTCGGAAGCCGAACAACGACAAATGGAAATGGCGTTAGAGCGAAAACGGTTGGAGAACGAGCTCGCGCGTCTGGCAATGGAGGACGAGCAGGAGAAGACGGCGGAGGAGCGCCTGCAAAGTGATAACGAGGTAACAGCGACCGGGAGTCGCAATGTAGAGGGTATGGTCGATCGGCAGGAGGAGGACTCGGAGGGAGGAGGCGGACTGGGAGAATATGCAGGAGGTGCTCCCGAACGAGCAACCCGATTTACGAGGTCTATACCAGCGAGTCAATCTGGGCAGACAAGTCAACGAGGAATTACGATTGCAGGCGGTCTGGTAGAGAAGATAAGGTTGACCTGGCAGTTGGAGGCGCAACCGATGGAGGGGGCATGTGGACTACAAATGCCAAACGACGCTAGAGATCTGGCTGTGGGGGAAACCTCACGGCAGATGGACGCGTCGGAGAGGGAGGGGGAAACTCTATCTGCAGATGATCGTTCCGCAGATGACGTCAACGGCGCGCGTAGGCAACGGGAGAGGGAGAGGAGGAGAGCAAGGGCTGCCGAAAAAAATGCGCTGAAGCAGGCAGACATGCAAGAGCGAAATGCAAACGAAGGCTTGGGGCAGAGTCAACTTCATACACTGTCTGATGCAGAACCGGACGGTGGCAGGAGACGTCAACGTCAACATTCGGAGTCAGATGCAGAACGACCGGCAGCGAAGAGACTATGCTCAGCCAACGTTTCACATCCAGGAGAAGGGGGTGTCCATGTGGTTGCTGCAACGCGGGGTGTGGCCGAGGTGGCGTTACCAGGTACAGGCATTCTACAAGTGGTGCATGTGAGCGAAGCAGATGGAGAGAGGGCAGACAACGAGGCACATGAGCAGCCAGCTGTCGAGGCTGACGACGAGGGGAAGAGACCAGGTGTGGAGCGGCCGTTCAAGGCACCGGGGTTGTTTGAGCGAAACAAAAACGATCCGGAGAAGATGCGGTACACATCTGAGCAGACATTAGGGGGCAAGAAGCGGAACATGGGGTCACATAAGGAGGCGTGGAGTAGAAACTTCACCGTCTGTGTCTGCTGGCTGGCCTACTTCCCGGATTGCAACTTGTCGTCTTATGGGATCCCCGCCACAGAAATTGAAAGGTGGCGCGACGAACTCCAATTTGCGGTATCTCTGCCGACCGGCGTGTGGAGTGTCATCAACGAGCTGTCGCTCGACAGATATGCCAAGTGAGTTTAGATCACAAAATGACTTCTGCACCAACGAACAATCATGTGTATGAACTATAACCCCACCCCTACCTTTGTTCTCTGGTGCAATTTCAAGGTCCTTATGAAGAAAACGACCGACCTAATTGCACGGCAGATAAGGTTAGAGATCGCCCTATCTGCGGGTGTGGCTCGAGCAGCTCTACTTGGGACGAAGGCAGGGGTACCGAACCCGCCAGCAACTGTTGACCCTGTGACGTACGCGACAGGTATCGCGGCTGCTCTCTGCACACTGTGGTCTGCTTCGATCAACAAGCCAGACACACGATGGGAAGCAGATACACAAGATGCTGCGGTAAAAGCGTACGACGACGTTGACGAGGCGGGGCGTGCAGCGAAGGTAGCAATCCAAATCGTACCTGCTCTGCGCAGCCTGTCAAAAGAAGTGCATGAGAAGGAGAAATGGGAGCCGTTTGTTGAAGCAGCGATCAAAACCCGCCTTCGGCAAGAGGGGCTTAACGAGGGTGTGGATAGCATGGTTAAGGTAGTAGCCAAGGTAGTTGTCTACTGGTGTCAGTGCCCCGTATCTTCATTAGGCCTAGCTAAACACCAGAAGGTCAGTTTGAAGTTTGCGAAAAGTAGGCGGCCGTCTAGACAAAACAAGGCTGCTGAATAAGTGTTGCCTACATGGGCAGTTGTTTAGATTGTGTGTGCAGCAGCGTACTTTGTACAATATATATTGACTACTCGATAGTTCTTCACCCTAATTTTATTAGGGTTCTAGAGACGACCGCGATAGTCTTCTGCATAACAAACGATCGAAACACTCGATATCGGCTTATTCGTAGAGGCAATACGAATAGGGCTTATTCGTAGAGGTCTTGTACGTCGATGGGATGTAGATAAGCGCACTACACGAACTATCTACCACCGAACACATCCTAATTCGGGAGGGAGTCCATGTGTCAAACTGGGTCAACCCGAAAGATAAGGTGGTCATTCAGGATTTGCAGAGCGCGAACATAAACGCCCGCAGATTTGCATCAGGGTTCGACTGGAGATGTGGCTGCATGACACAGGATACGCCCCAAAATGTGCACAAGTGCATTAATTTGCGTGACTATCGTATTGAAATCTGTTAATGTTGTAGAAGTTCACGTGCAACATTTACGAATTGCTGCGCGCCAATACGATCGTGCATGTATTGCGCGCCGACAGATTTGCTTGACCCTCGGCTGCAGATGAGGCCGGGTGAAACATCAATGCAGACGTGGCGCAGAACATATATTTTATAATCACCATGTTTAATCAACACGTGTCTCACCAAGTGCAGACACAATCCGCAAACTCATGACGTCCCATTGGTCCAAAACGTCGTAGTTTCCTCTACCATGGGGAATTGTCATTCGACCAATTGCAGTGGCCCTTGATTGTGCAGCGCGCCAATAGTTTGGGGAGTTTCCGGTTGCAGATGTGGCAACGATGATGATATGATTGTAGATATCACAGTTGACCAAAAATTCTATGTGCCAGTTATGCGAAATGCCGCGCGCCAACACGGGCGCAGACACCGCTAACTGAGGTAGACTGACAACAGCCAACTAAACACGTGGCATATTCATCTTTGCGTTCCGTCACCAATCGAGGCGTAGTTGCGATCTACGCCGACTACCATAACGCCCACTATTCGCCCAACTGTCAAACCAATGCAACATTGACGTGGCGTTGGAAGCCAACGGCAGCTGCATAGTGTACACTGCAGCACAACAAGTGGCATCCTACCCGTAGAGCCACCGCAACCCGATAAGAATGCACAGAATATCTGGCATTTCAATGTCGACGTGTCAAACTGCGGATTGCAATGACCTGGCGGCCACAAATGCAGAAAACAAATGGACTTGCTCTTGGTGTATATCACATCGGTGGAGCCCAACTCGGCGTGAGCAGGTTATATAGTCCTTTCACATCAAACACTGGACGCTAGTCTTGAGGTAGATCAGTCAACTGCCTACTATTCTCAGTTTCGGCGATTCTAAGGTGACTTTGCGGCAGACATCGACGTCAGGAAAAGATGGAGGCGCTCGATCTCGAGTTTGACGGCGGAGTACGCGATGAACACGCCAAGACCATGCATGAGAGCTACGGCAAAGAAGGCGTATGCCACGCTACCGTGTCGTCGCTTCTACCGGGAACGAAAGCACGTTCAACAGTGGTGTGTGTTGTAGCGGGTGCGGGAGATGGCGATGATGAAGGAGACAGGTCGCAAAAGTCTGAAGATGAGCCAGCCCCACAGGGAAAGCGTGTCAATGTTGCCCGACCGTTCAAGTCGCCTGGTTTTTTCATTACACGATTTGGGGATGATAAGATACGCTACTTCTCAGAGCAGATGGTGGGCGGACGGAAGCGGAACATGGGGTTGCATATCACAGAGCGGAGTCGGGATTTCACCGTTGCCATCTGCTGGTCGACATATTTTCCGGATATCGACCTAGAATACTACGGGTTGAGGCTGAGTGACATCCAGCTCTGGTCACCGCTGCTTGACTTTGCCAAGTTGTTGCCCACTGGAGTATGGAGCGTGATGAACGAACTCCATCTCGACCGGATTGACAGGTGAGTGCCTGGCGTTCCAGTCTATCACTAGTTATATGTTCCAACAAATCTGATGCTCGTCTTGCCACCTTATACGCAGGTTTGATATCGTTGTGCAGAGAACGAAAGAGCGTCTCCGGTCGGGTGACGATGGGGAACGTGCGTTGTGCACTGGCGTTGGACAGTCAGTCATGCATGCGTGCATTGCTGACATGACGCCGCCACAAGGCGTACAGGCGGTTGTCTTCGCGGCTGGGCTGGCCGCTGCGATATATACCTTGTGGGCCGCGTCAGGGGCTACTACATCTGCTGACTACATGTCCGGCGCCAGGGGAGTAGTATGAACCATTACACGTGATGCAGTTCTAGCGGGGCATGTTGCAGATGCGGCACGCGCATCCATAGTTGTAATGCAGAGCCATGCTCGTGAACGTCACAGCACAGAGGAATGGTCGCTGCTGCTGCAGCGCGAGATTGTGGAGTCCCAGAATCCGAATAATGGCGCGCTGATTATGGACCTCGCCAAGGTGGTGTCTAGAGTGCTGGTACACTGGTGTAGGTGTGGTCACGCTGCCGCTGGACTTCTTCGTCACCAGGGAGCCGCACTTACTCTCATCCCATCTTGTGTAGTGCGTCGCCAGAGGATGCTTGAGCATTCTTAGAGGAGATAGAATATTGCTTGCATGGATTCAGAGTGGCCAGATTTTTCGTTGCCGCCAATATCTACCGCGATGTTAGAAACCGACGTGTGACCGTATGCAAATGAATGTGGCTCTGCACAAGGTTGTGTAACTCTGCCTCGCAATTGCATGTGTATGGTGGTGGGCTACCTGGATGGTCAAGCGTTCGGAGAACAATACATTGCATAGTACACTTTTCCCGTACACGCAATCAAATGCGGGAGTATGAGTAGACAATGCAGGATGGGTGATGACTCACACTTTGTATTATGCGTAGACTAAATTGAAAGCGACATTGCAAGCAAAAATCCGCTGATGAACCAACAAACGTACTGATCAACCTTGAAAAACAATCTTTGCAAAAAACCGTGGGAACATCTAAATCTTCTGTGTCCTACAAATTGCTCGGACCATGCAGAATAGGACAACACCAGCAGCGTGCTCTGACGCTAATCAGAGTGCTAATCAGAGTGGGATGAACTACAATTAACACAAACAATATTTTCGAAGATTCCGGTTCAATGTGACAACATGTCTGACGTGTTGGTTCACACATGTGTTTTATTTCCGAGATATATTAGTTCAAACACGATCGTAAAGGCTTAAAAGCCACCACTCTGTAGAGAGGATAAACGTTTCGGGATAAGGTCATCTTAATCTGCACACCATCGCAGAACATCCCACGTGATCACAGAGAGCAAATCTGGAACACACACGTTCCGACTTCAACTTTGTGTTTCGGACTACCCCGAAGCACGCGAGGTGGCATATGTCCCATCTGCAATGAGTCATATTCAACGATGAATGACTGTATAAACTCGGTTCATTGTAGACGATGATTGTATTATGCAGACATGGTCACCATACATCGCACGTGAGGTAGTAGTACATGGTGAACGAACACGTGGCATCTTCATCTTTGTTTGTAGACAGCCAATGTGCGGGCAAACTCGTTAAAGGGATGAACTGTTGCGCGCCAAGTGAGTCCCTATGCATATATTGGGATTCCGAAGCTTTCCAATGGTGGATCGTTAAGACACACGGGGGAAATCTCAACGAGAATCTGCAATAACAATCCTATTCGAACAACATTGGTCACATCTATAGATGTAGACCCGTTTAGCCGTTTCTAAACAGTGTCCCTGCCAATGCCCAAGCTTGTCAGTTAGGGACGTAGACCCCCTACGGTGTAGTGTCACCATCTCATGCATTCACATGGACGAGCCTAACAATGCTACACTACACAGGGTAGTGTATGCAGAATTAAATGTGAACCTCTTGCCTATGTAGAAACTAAAATGCAACATTGCAGACTTTCTGCGCTCCAACACCATCGAAGAAGCAATTGCGCGCCAAAAGACCTGCATGATGTTCGACTGGATATGTGGCTGCGTGCCACATGCATGCACACGTAAAATCTGCATAGAATCACACGTGGGCGAATTTGAGCTACGCGGCGTGAGATTGCAAATCTACAACACATGTCAATCTGCAATCACAATCTGCAATAACATTGCCATCTGAAGAACATTCGTCCAGTCGAACGATGTACACTTGTTCAATTCATGCGTCTACCCGAAACGTCCCTGTCATTGCCTATTTGGCAAACGGTTTGAAATAGTGACCAATACAAGTCTGCAACGTCGCTGACACTGCCTATGTGGACTTGAATGGTGGTGCGCGCCAACAAATATGCAGGTTCCCTGCTGTTTATTGCCGCAGCATGCCACAAAGAGTGCAGATATGACATTTACCACTGAATCTGACGTGGACTAGTTGATTTATGCGCAACACTTGCGCAGACAATACGGCGCACACCTGTAAACAAACACGGGGCATTTGATGCATTGCTTCCCCGACAACATTGTACGAGGCAAAGTCGAAATCTAAGCTGCGATACATTACGCACGCGGCTCGCTCAACTGTCAATTTGTGGCAACATTGACGTTGCAATGTTGATAACGACGCAGACTTAGAGTACTCTGCAGCACAACACGTGGCGTATTTCCAGTCGCGCACTCTCATTCCGATAACGTTGCCAGTGTTCTGTGTGACTCCGCTGGATAAGAATCCCACATGCGGTGGCGGAGAAGCATGCTGCGCGCCAACAATAGGGCAGACACCCCACGTGACAGGTGCTATATAAAACACTCTATCCACTCCGATTCCCCCCAACACATTTCGCATGCGGCGTGCAGGACCGTAGATCTGCATGCAGGACCGTAGATCATCGACTCCGGGGCGGAGGAACTGGCAGTACTCCACGTGGCATATGACACACCACCCACTGCATTATGATAACGTAGAGCAGTCGCATCTAGACGTAGCGATGTACATCTGTCCACCCCTTGGATGTCAATCGCGTCGCGTCATCTTACCCAAGACATCTGGCTCAACTCTTCTCCGTAGACGGTTTTGAACATCTCTCACTCGCGGAGATGTAAATGTTGCTGGAAATCCACTTCCCAGTCATTTATTCAACGAGTCTGTTGAGCAGGACTTCTTTCATTGCACGCGCTTATCTAGCATCGGAGCCGCTGTCGTATGTTTTCAGGCAGTGCCTAGAAGACCAGCACGGAATTTCGAGATTTATCTGGTGGCGTAGATCTGCTTAGCTCGGAACGCAATGGCAGATCCTCTTATTATACGAGGCTGTGGGGTAGCCGTAAAGATTACGCAGGACGCTTACCAAGCTTTTATCTCGCAGGAAGAGGAGTGGAGCGAAAGCATGCTAGATTTCTCTATCTTGTAAGAATACTGTTGCGGTCCAATACGAGGCTTCACGACGATCGCTTTTGTAGAATCAAATTCTTCTCTACCGTTCTACAAAGCATCACCGGCCCCCTAGTGAATAGAGGACCAACATATTCTTCGAGCTGTTTTTCCTTCCCCCCCAGACTACAGGTGCTGGACTCTCTCACTCGTAAGCATCGATCGAAGATTCGAATAGTGCCAGCGTCGACTGTTAGGGCGAGATTGGCTCTACCGCATCGTCAACCGATTCGTGAGGGCATAGAGCACAGTCTTCTCCGTAAAGAGGCTATCGTCATCCCCCTGTGGTCTCGGTAAACGACCCGTGTTTCGATTGCGCTGCTTTTAAGTTTTAATTTTCCAACACATCTGTTCTAACGCTGATGCGGTTTTGTGCAGGGTATCGTTCGAGCCATCCGCATTAATAAGCTTGATGGCAGTTCTCCATCCAGACGATCTACTTGGGTCTTCGGGCTCTCCCTTCCGCACGCGCGTCATGCACTACGACCCCAAGTCCGGTGTGCCTACCCACACACACGCTACTTTCGCCGAAGAAGTGTTCGGGTGAGTGCGCTTTTCCCCTTCCTTGCGTATGAGTATGTGGCAGACAAACCCATCTGATTAAAACTGTTGTGGTTTCAGATGGCTGAAGGAGCAACTCCTTGTAGAACGTTGTCCGGAAGACACTGCGCTGACTTCCGAGGATGCGGAGCTCCGCGTGATGAGGACCAGGCTGGCGAGCTTGACACTCGAGCGCAGCACGGTAAGCTTCTGACACTGTGGTTTCAGCGGAATTGCAATGTATACTGAGTACACTACTAAACACAGTGCTTGTGGTTTTTCTAATCACAGATAACTTCACATGTTGGGCGGCAAGAGGTTGGGTCCGGTCTGCTGGTGTCGTATTTCTGGGGGAAGCTGGTGGAAAATTGGGAGTTCGTGCTTTCAGTGCAGAGCGGGAGACCATTTCCTGGTCTTGGCAAAGGAACATACTCGAAGAATGAAATACTTGCCTGGCTGATAACGACATGCCGCGATCACTTCGGGGGCCCCGCGAACAAGCAAGTAGCCGACCTGGTAGAGGTGGACGACGATGCGGACTCAGACTCTACGTGCGATTTACGATCTGGGGAAGACGAGGAAGAGGAGGAAGCCGCGGAGGCGCATGCCGACACAGGGGTCCGTGCACCGTCTACGCTGTTGCTCACGCGGAAGCCGAGGACGCGCCATACCCAGTCGGGCCCTTCAAATGTGTCGGTGTTGACCAAGGGGGGTATGTCAGATCCTTTGCAGAGCACAGAGGCGGGGACTATGCACAGCAACGACGCTAAGTGTGGGTTCATGAAGGGTGCTCTACAAGAGGCCGAAAGACTAAGGGTGCAGCGGCGCAGACAGGCGGAAGGGAGTTCACAAGAGGTGAAGTTGGGAGAGCATGCGGCGGCTTGGACGATGGCAGGAAGTAATGTTGCAGCGCAGACATGGCGGAGGGTCATCTGCAAAAATGTTGAAGAAGCTTCCTGACGACGACCGAATGAGTGGACCGCCGGAGATCGCGGCGGATACGGATGCGTCGAGAGAGAGGTGTGAGATGGTCGGTGTCGATGTTGAGGCGCTTCAACGGTCCTTGAAGCCGTTTATAAAGCAGTACGTCGAAGAATTGATAATGCGGGCGGAAGAGAAGCAGGTGGCTGATACCACAGACCATCAACGGCAGTTTGCAAAGGCGCTGAAGGAAGAGATAATGGCCGCTGTGCACGGGAAGCGAAACACGGGGCGAGAGGTGGAAATCGGGGGGGCTGGCATGCTGCATTCGCCTCCAGCAACGGCCGCAGGTGTTTTGTTGGCGCCTTCAATTCCAGATGCCGCCCCTTCCACCCCCCTACAGCATACTAACATCCATGGCATGACTCTGGGTGTTTCGGTGGATGTTGAAGCGGTAGATAAGGAAGTACAAAAAGGTGGTGAGATCGGACAGGCACAGACAGGTGTGGGCAAAGGGAAGGTGCGAGAGGGGGCGAAGGTGGTAACGGGGGAACCATTGGCGCAAACCGGTTCGGAGGGTGCTGCTGAAGGTGTCGGAGAGGACGTGCAGATCGTGGAAAGAGGAGGCGAACACGACGAGGTGGAAGAGAAAGAACACGGGAGCGCGGACGGCAAGGAGGCAGAGAGGGTGGAGGAGACTTCTGGTGAAAAGAAGAATGGAGAGTTGGTCGTTCAACTAGCAGACATGGAAGCGGAAGAGAAGCGTCTGGCAGCGGAGGAAGAGGAGGAGAGAACTCGGGCTGCGGAGCGTATGAGGGCTCTGGCGTCGGAGAGGGCGCGACTATCTGCTGCACGACTTCGACTGATGCAGGAACGGCAACCGGAGGAACATGGTGCTGGAAAGCCGGCAATGGAAACCTCTGGTGAAGACAGGCTTCGTCAAATGCCTGAACATTCAGAGGGTACACGTGGGTTGAAAAGGGGGAGGGATGTGGAGGCGGACCAGAGCGAGTCGCAGACAGGTGCAGATGAAGCGATTGCTAGTGATGGGGACGGTATCGGAGAGGGCAAGAGAGGGAAGGTTTGTGTTGTAGCAGACGGTCTGGGTAAAGTGTTCGGGGAAGATAAGCCGTACAAAGCAGGCGGGTTTTTCAAGCGGAAGACGGCAACAGCGGGAGGCAAGTACTGCTCCGAGCAGACTGTTGGAGGGTGCAAGAGAAATCTGGGAAATTTTGAAAGCGAGCGGAATAGGAACTTCAGCATCGCCATCTGCTGGATGGCATACACTCCAGATGCGGACCTGCTCGCCTACGGCATGGATAAGGAGGATGTCCAAGCGTGGTCGGCATATCTGAACCTTGCCAAGCAGCTGCCGACAGGTGTTTGGAGCGTTCTGAACGAGCTGCACATTTCCCGGATTGAGAAGTGAGTGACGTATGTTGCAATGCATTTTTGGAGGTTTACGGTGTGCTCACAAAACGCTGCTTGTTGATACTACCCTCCCAACAGTTTCGGTGCCGTCTTGAAGAAAATGAACGAGCGTCTGGCAAAGGGTGCAGAATTGCAGACCGGTCTCTGCGAGGGAATCGGCTTGGCAATGCTGCTTGGCTGCACGGGTGTGGAACCAGCCCCAGACAGAGTCCCTCCTGCAGTGTACGCTGCTGGCGTAGCATCAGCGCTGTACACCTTATGGGGAGCCTCGATTGGTACTCCAGAAGAAGACTACAAAGCTGGTGCCTTGACCGTCGCGAGCTGCATCGTCAACGACGAGGAGCTGACGAAGCATGCGGCAGAAGCGGCTCGAAGCGGCGTAGTTGCAGTGAAGCAGGTCTCAGACAGACAACTCAAAAAGAAGGAAACGCCGCCTGTCTTGGAGGGCAAGATTGTCGAGATCCTAAATCGACCGAAGGGCGAGGTAGAAGTGACTAATCTCGCCAAGGTGGTAGCTAGGGTCACGGTCTACTGGTGTCAGTGTGGCTTCGCTTCGAGGGGACTGGCTCGCCACCAGGGCGCAACGCTTTCCATTCTGCCAACGCGACGTGGGCCGAGGCAGAAGGGGGAGAAGGGGGATGAGTGATAGACGGGTGATATGTAGTTAGAGAGTGCAATTGTTGATCTGCAGGATAATGAGAATTTAGTGTGTTCCATACGTCTACCGTTGCTAAGTGCAATACCCCGTTGAACCAGACTGGGCTCTGCCAAGCAATCGGCTTGGCAATGCTGCTTGGCTGCACGGCTGTGGAGCCGGCCCCAGACGAAGTTCCTCCTGCAGTGTACGCTGCAGGAATGGCTTCCGCGCTCTACACGTTATGGGGTGCCTCGATTGGTACTCCTGCAGAAGCTTACAAAACCGGCGACGTGACCGTCGCGGTCATCGGAGTGATAACTCCATGTGTTCTCTGAATTCGTCGATTTGAGCTGTTTTAACAATTAACCATTGAATATGTAGAAATGATCGATCTCCTCTGAACTATAAGTAAGCTGCACCCGATCTACAACTGCAGTTTTGCAAAATGCACTCATCCGAGGCACGCGATGATAAGGAAGTTGTGTCGCCCTCTCAAAAACTAAACAATCACAATCTACCGTCCCTTAAACAAAATATATATTTGTCTGCATATTAGGACCCAAAGGTGATACCAACAGCGTAGAGTTGTCGTGGGTCCGTTGCAACCGCGTAAAAGATTCTCTGCATTTGTCAGCCCGGTTTCTCGACCGAACTTAAGGAAATTGTCAAACTCTACCATGCAATCACCCCTAAACCTATTGTTGCAACTTTCAACCAACACGCGCACATAATCTAGGCTTACAATGTTGAAGAGATCTACCAACCTTACTCCAGGTTGGTCTAGACGGTTTCACGTTAGGATACACCAAGGCACATAAAAATCAAACTAGTCTGCGCGTAGATTTTAATAAACGCTTCTGTACGCATGTGGAAAACGCAACCGCTCCAGTCACGCGCCAGTCCTTTTCTGCAAAGGCTTTTCAGACTCTTTGTCCTTGATCGCAATGTTAGGCCTTCCATAAATCAGCTCCTAGCTATCTTCACTTGCAGTTTTAAACAACGCTCACTACCGAGGCAGGCGATGGACATCTGTTCATCCGCCCTCTCAAAACTAAACAATCACAGTCTACCGTCCCATAAGCAAAATACCTATTTGTCTGCACCTTAGAACCGAATGGTGATAGAAACCGCGTAGAGTTGCCGTTAGTCTGATAGAACCTCATAAACAAGTTTGCGCATTTGTCGGGTCGGTTTCTCGACTGAGCTGAACTAGACTGACAAACTCTACCATGCAATCACCTAAATTTTTTATTGTTCCAAATATTAACCAACAAGCACCGAATTCACCTACAAAATTCAGGAACACTCTCTACCGGTGCTCCCATTGGTCAATACGCTTACACGACCTTTCACAAACTAGACAGTCAAAATCTACCATGGGTCCATATTAAGGTCCTACTAGTCTGAACATAAAGAAACAATTAAGATAGGTAACGCGTAGAGTTTAAAAGGTTTCTCTACGTTTGGGGATATAGCAAACCACCTCCGAAATCCCCTGCTTCTACACCCCCGGTCGCGCACCAGGCCTCTACTTCAAAGGCTTTTGAGACTCTTCGTCGTTGATCGACAACCACTGAGATGCGCCGAAGATATCTTCCGCCCATGTGTTGTCGCGCTGACCGTAAAACACGAGGAGGTATGAAACCCTCTCTTGCGCATCGTCCGTTTGGCTTTTCCCCCCAGCCGTCGCTGTTCGCTGCCTCTTCGTGCCCCTCTTATCCTTGACAATCAGCCCATCTGCGAACGTAGATGGAGAAGTCTGGAACAGCACCTCATCGAGCACGTTCACCGCCTCGGTCGTCGCCGCGAGCGACTCGTCCACCCTGAACATCTCCACCGCTGTCATAGCTTTGTGGTTGCGACGCAGCTGCCTTTCACAGGTGCCCCCCTTGGCCGCCAGACGCACGGTGGGTTCGAACTTGCCTTTCTCTTCCTTGATTTCCTTACCGATCTTGTAATGCGCCCATTTAACGATAAAGCCTGCCTCCTCTGCAACTTCACGCAGAGTTCGGCCTCCCACAAGGAAGCTGGACTTGTTCCACAGCGCCCATGCATCCGCCACTGTGGTGCAGTCACGCCACGGCCGCACCACAGTGTCGAAGTAGTAGATGTCTGGTGTCGGTGTCGCCGGCTGTGGGGTAGATGGGCCAGCCCCGCCGTTGCCCGAACGCGAGGAGCCCTCACCACCTGCAGCAGCGTTGTCGACGGCGATGCTGCCCGGCGAGGAAACCGTGAGAGCCGCCAACGCGGCCTTGAGTTGCGCCATCTCCTCGTCCATCTTCTTTTTGGCGCTCTGCAGCTCACGAACTTGGGCCTCAAGCTCGGCGTTGCGGACGTCCTTCATCCCACTCGCCTTCCGCAAGCAATGGTTCTCGGCGCGGACCGTCACCAGCTCGTGCTGGCCCTCGATCCAGAAGCGCGCGTTCTGCGAAACAAAAAAATATCGCGCGGTGTGAATTCGCGGATTTACAAAACTAATCTGCAATAAAAAGGACACTTACGGCCTCGACCGACTGCCCCGCGTTCTCCCTCATGATATGGCTGTTTTTGTCCATTGTTGCCACAATTTTGGCCCACTTTTGAAACAAGGGCTCGTTGCAGAGGCGGCTAATCTCCACATATGGGTGTCTTGTGCAGGTGCATCGTGGAGAATTTGGGTCGAACTCGTTGTGCTCGCGACAATGGATCCACATCATTGCAAGGTCTTGTGCGACCACATCCCGACCGCACTTGATGAGGCTCTCCAAAAACCTCCGACCAGAGTGGTGTTGCCTGTATAAAGTCCTGGTGCTGTTGTATTTATCGACCTGGTGGTTTAGGGTGGGTTTCAAATACGTAGAGATGCATAATTAGTGGACATGATTTGCGCAATCACGGTAACGACTCGAAAATAATGTTTACCTTCTTCAACTCCTTCTCGGCCCATGGGAAGATGTGTTTTTTGAAAAGCTTCTGCAGCTTCTTCCACTCCTTATCGACTGGGAGCTCAGCGTGTGCTCTGCCTATGTAGTAATCTCCAGGAGATCCGCTGAATCCAGCCATCAGAAGCATCGGAAGAAAAGGAATTCCAATAATGTACGCCTTCCGCATCTCCCCCTGCTCCCACCCGCCCAGAGCGCCAATGTCGTTGTCGGGGCAACGGTCGTCGCTCAGCCCCTGCGCCCCGGATCTGCGAAAAATGTGGGTCACCTTGCTGAACATCCACCTCGCCTTTGTCATGACCCATTTGATCCAGTTGTTATGAGTCTCGTATTTCATCTCGTCTTGCGCCTGCGGAGGAGGCTCGCTCGGCTTCCTTATTCCAAAGAACAGGTGCTTCTTCGCCCACTTACGCGGCTTCCGAAAATTCAGACGACGTAGGACTTTTTTCCCGTAGCGAGTCGGAACGAGGTCGTAGAGCCAATGAATCCACAAGAAAACCCCGCCAACGCCGCAGAGCTGCCAGTCGATGTGCCTTGCCAGATACTGATGTGTCAGATTATTGGAGAGGTTGGTCTTTGTTTTCCTCGAGGCGATGACAAGCACAGGAAGGTCGGCCTTGCCTTTGAGTTGGGTGCTGCTGCGGCAGAAGTGGACGAACATGTTGGCGAATCGGATCTTCCGAATGGAGACCCCCCTTCCCAGAACCTGGTGCGCCAACTGGATCATGACCTTCACGGCGAGAGCCCTCCACAGCGGCTGAGATGGGAAATCCTTGCTCCGGGCGTAGATGTTAAAATTCTGTTGCGGAAGAGTGTTGTGATGCAGCTCCTGGTATTGATCCGCGTTGTAGCAATCGTCGAGAGACCCACGGTGCTGATCCGCGCCAGTTTTGCACAGACAGTGGGTCGGCGTTAGATGCGTAGCATTATACAGGGACGACGAAGGAGGACGATTCTGCAGAGTCGTTGTTAAAGAATAGCGGAATGAGTCATCCGTGCTTCACATCTCCCACAATGAATTGCTCACCGGATTTGCTCCTCGTTGAGGTTGACCAGCTTCACCTTCATAAACGATCTGCTCTGCATGATTTTGTCTTGCATCTTCGTAATGGGGTAGTCGTACAGAGCAGACTCGCACCTGCTGAGGCAGCCAATGGCGTTCATCTTCGCCTTTATCATCTTTGGTGTGCTGGGCTTGGGCTTCCTCCCGGCAACGACAGGCCCATCTCCCTTGAGGGTTTTCGCTTGCTCAGGGGTTTCAGAGAACAAGTACTCCATGTAGCGGATAATCCTCCACCCGGTAACACGGGGTCCGTGTAGATGCTGCACAGAGTCATCCACCCCTTCCCACGAGAGTTTCGCATCGTCGCCGAAGTACATGCCAACCTCGTCTGGGTTCTCCATGTCAATTATCTCGGCCTCTGGAATCACGTCTGCCAACAGGGTCATCATCATTGTAGTAACCCAACGCTTGTAATGGCGCCAGTTGCAGGCGTACTGTCCTCTAGTCTTCGCAGATAACTTGTCGACATGCACCGATGCGAGCATTTTCCTGTGATCTATCTCGGCATCGCTCTGCGGGGGAGCACTCCCAAAGTGGATGGGATCGTCGTTAAACAGGGGACGACGAGTGTGGCTTGAGTTCTCACCGTCTTAGCCTTGCGATGGTGGTTGTCTCTGCGCAGATTGTTGGCTCTGCGAGTGTCGTTGTCTCTGGGCAGATCGCTGACCCTGGGAAGGTCGTCGGCCCCGCGCGGGTCGTCGACCATGCGCAGTCCGCTGGCCCTGCAAAGGTCGTTGGGCCTGTGCAGATCGTTGGCCCAGAGACGGTAGAGTGGCTGTTGAATGCTCAACAGCTACACCCTCAGAAGATCTGTTGTGGCTTGAACTCCCACCTTCGTGACCCTGCTCAGTACTCCCCCCCTCGTCCATGTCGTCGTCACTCGCATCGCTAAAATCGGAGTCCGTCTCTTCATCGTCCTCGTCATCCGAACTGTCATCATCGTCGTCTCCATCGCTTGCGTCCAAATACTCGGTCTCCTCCTCTTCACCGTCCTCTTCCTCTGCCTGCCGTTCTTGTTCGATCTGGATCGGGTCGCCATATTCTGACTCCGTCTCTTCATCGTCCGCTTCCTCTGCACCTGCTCCCGGGCCTCCCACTTCTTCCCGCTCCCCTTCCTCTGCACCTGCCTCCAGGCCTCCGACTTGTTCACGGTCCCCTTCTTCTGCACCTGCTTCGGGGCCTCCCTCTTCTCCACCGTCCCTTTCCTCTGCATCTGGTGCCGTGCCTCCATCTTCTGCAGCAGCCGCGTTCCCCTCTTCTACGACTAGCTCTGGCGCCTCTGCAGCATCGTAATACGCGTCTTCAACATCCTCACTGTAGAGGATATCTTTCCCGACATCCTGCGCATAGTCATCTTCGGCATCCGTTAATTCGTCGTCGTCCTTCTCCTCGACCTGACCCATTTCTCGCAATAGAACATCGACCCAGACGATCCCATCGGTGGACATTGGACTCTACAGAAAACACTGGATGGATGGACGGATGGATCCGTAGAGATATAAACTAGTGCGACATTGTAGAGTGGCGGTGAAGCGTACTGCCGTCGAAGAGAATCCGATTCTACCTAGATGGCTCTTTCCGGAGAAACACTGCTGACACGTTTAGAGCTGTTGGCAGATGAAGAGGCAGATCTACGGACGAGCGTTACGACAGAGGAAGGAAATTTAGTTGCAGTCTAGATATTGCTCTTTAGTAGACAAGCGTAACAGATTGGACATGTGGAACGTTCTACACTATCGTGTTGCATAAATGCTATCAAGATGCTTCAACAACTGCGATGTGTCGACTTCGGGACGAGCTGCAGAACCTATCTTCCAATCTACAGATGGAGACTTGGAGGGGCGGGGTGCCCCATAAAAAAAAAAAAAAAAAAAAAAAACAGACAAGGCTAATCGTCTACGCTACCGGATCGACCGCCTGCAGACTTTCTACGCGGGCAGCAATGGGAGATTATAGGCGGAGGGGGTGGGGTGTTGAGGACTTAGCGATAAAAAAAAACATGAAATAGGTGCAACAGCACTTGGAGGACCTCGAATGGCCATCATGGAAAAACGTGAACAAGGAAAAAAAGAAACAGAATGAGGCTGACCCCCAGCTTTGAAGCCACACATTGAGCTGAATCCACTGATGAGGTCGCCCTCCTTCCAGATCTGGATCACTTGGCCACCCGCCAAATCCAGGGTCCACGTTTGGCTCCACATATGTGGCAATCCCTGATTGGTTTCTTCATCTGGGGAGAATCATGGGCGACGATTGGTCGACCCTGTTTTACTGTCAGAATACACTGCAAAGTCGATGAGAGTTTCGAGAGTGTTTTTATCCAAGGTCACTGTACGAGTGGCTGTTCATTTGCTGTGTGGTGGTTGGAGTTGAGCGGCAAGCGGCGTGTCTTTGCGGAAACAGTGTTAGATATTGTTGACTCTTCTGCACGTAACAAATCGTCTAGGTTTTTACATCATGATTCCGAAGGCGAGGATTGACCCGTCTGCGACAGCTCGTTTTCGATCTACCGCGGCGGTTTGCTTGTTATCGAACACATGTTGCAGAGTACAATGCAATCTGAACTTGTTATCTGCTGTAAAAAGAAATTTCTGTTGACAAACGCGAGTCACTCTGTAGAGGGTTCGCGTGCGACTGGCTTTTGGACGTCAAGACGACCGTCCTGTCGCAACCGGTTGTGCGACGAGAGGGGGTCGTCGGCCGTCGGGCGGGTAACCTCGCTACTCGCGAGCGTTTCGTCGAGAGCACAACTCGCAAAAGTTGGTGTTGATTTTCGAGTTGGGCCTCTGCCCGAGGTGGTTTTTTGGGTCAGGTGGGCGCAACAAATTGGGCCGGAAACGTGTGTCGTATTCGGCGCGGCCTTGCGCCCTTTTGCGCCCGTTTTCCGGTCGTCTCTTTTGGAAAGACGGACGAGAAAGACGATGGGGCGTTTTCGGAAAGACGGGGACCTTTTTTTGAAAATAGCTTTCATCATCCCTGCTGAAGAGGGAGGGATTTGGCCTGGGGAAGCTTGGAAAATGTCGGTATGCGGCTCGTGGATGTGAATGTCCAATCCACGTCCACCGCGCCGCAATGCTTTTCATAGTTCTTGTGTGGAGCCACGCCTTGCTTCCTTACTACGTTCCACTTTACAAAGTATAGCAATTGTGTATTATGCATGTTGACACAAAGAAATTCATGAATAAAAACCTGTACATGTGTTTATTCTCCTTATATTAACAGCAAAGAAAAAACTCCAAACACAATTTATGATAATTTGATTATTTAACGATGACTCCGATAAATGAAACTATATTGAATTTTGTTAAGCAGTGTCAGCGCTCATATGTTTATCATTGTAATATAATTTATAAAAGGATGATATATAGGTATGATTGAGAATGAAAAATCGCCCTCTGTAAGTCATTGTTGTTTTAACCCAATATATGGCAACTTTACATTGCATGCATACACGTTTCAACTTTCAAAAAGCTGTCCCTTGCTTTACGAGACCACGGTTTTGATTGTTGCGTTACGGTTTAAAATGGTAAAGAGCACGAGCCGATCATACCGTGTGGAAACCCTCAAAACCGCACTAAAAGGTCAGCCAACACTCAGGCGCAACCCATTCTCATATTTCTACTTTCATTCTCCAGTGCTTCTTTCTCTAGCCTTTTTCCTGCTGTTTTCTGAGCTACTTATCCAGCAGGATCAGCGATCCGAGGTTCGTGACCTGTCCGCGAGCCCTGATCTCACGTAGTCTGCCTTGCAGTCTACAATCCTCGCTCTTTTTGTCTTTAACTCGTTTAGAATCATGAGCGGAGACGAGAAGAAGATGGACCTGTCAGATATCGCTGCTTCTCTTCCTTCAGGTGATCCCCCCTGTTCCCGTTTCCCCTTTTACGTTTTCGTGTTTCTTTTGTGACACGTCGTGCCGACGTCGATCTGGAATTTCGTTCGATTATACTTCGAACGCGATCTGATCGCACGTTCTGTACTGTAAATTTGTGGCTTCCTCGATGCTTTTGTAATCATCGTTGTTCTCGATATAATCGTCGTATCCCGCGGTCTAATCTCTATCGTTTCAGGGGGAGCGGGGTTAACCGACGAAGCTCGCGCCGAATTGGTCAGCTCTATCCAGGTGAATGAAGTACCAGCAAACTTCTAGGTTCTTTGAAAACGATCGAGGACGTTTTTAATCAAATGAGCATTAACGAAGCGGAATGAGAAACATCGAAACGGGATGGGAAACACCCGATCTTGCCGCCGCCACGCGATCATTGACGCAGGATTCAAGAATGGTGAGGAATGACAAAGCATTTCAGGGAAACAGCAACCTCAAAGTTCGCAAGGATTTTTTTTTTGCTTGTTGATTATGCAAGTTATGATCGCATCTTACGCGTCGGGTAATTTCTTCTACGCGGCCTTCATCTTGTTCTCTGCTCACCTGCTTTTTATCTATATTTATTATCTCTTTAAAATCATACGATTGCCATGACAGGACAAACTGGAAACCCTCATGACGCAAAACTTCCTCGCCGGCCTCTCGCCAGCTGTCCGCACACGTGTCACGGCTCTACAGGATATCCAGGTGCGGAGCATCCTAGCGACTGAAGCGATCGATCGTTTCTTCGTTTGTCAGCCTCTCATACAGTTGTTTGTCACGTTTTGGCCGTAACATGCGTCCCGCCGGTGGCTGGTGTCTATACATTTTTGTTCTGTTCATTTTTTTCGCTGTGCATGAGATTCGTTTTTGGACGCTATAGGTTTTGGATCCGCGTGTGACGCGACAGCAATCGCTTGAGGTTTTGCTGGGAGGGTTTCGTGCTCTCAGAGAACCGATTGCTTTGGAAGCTCCGCCGAAGGCGAAACGGAAGTAGAGGGCGATTCTCACGGCGAGATCAGTGAGATGGTCCGAAAGGAGATCACCTCTTCCGATCGCTGTGGTGGTGTCCCGTTGTTTCATCCTCAAACCCTGTAAAACCCCAACTATTTACCTTTTTTTTGCTTTGTGCAGAAGGTAAATTGCTTCGAGTAGAAGACCGAGCAATGATGTGAAGTCACTCAAAGTGTTCCTTCTCGCTCTCCTCCTCTTCCCCCCTCCCGACCCCTTCCCCCGCCTTCCCCTCCTTTCCCTCTGCCTCTCCTGTTCTGGAGAAGGCGGAACTGTGATTTGAAGTCTCCCTCCGGATGCTCCTTCATCATCCCTCTACCATTCCCCCGTGTCCTCTTCCCCCTCTCACCCACCCCCTTCGCCCCCCCTCCCCCCCAGAAATCGCACGACGAGCTCAAGGAGAAGTTTCTGGAGGAGAAGGCGGCTCTGGAGGCCAAGTACCAGAAGCTGTACGAGCCGCTCTACAACCAGGTGAGGATCTACTCTATAACGCGTATCGTTTAGACGAGTTTTAGAAGGCGGCCTTGGAGACCAAGTACCAGAAGCTGTACGAGCCGCTCTACAACCAGGTGAGGATCTACTCTGTAACGCGTATCGTGTAGAAGTGCCTTAGAAGGGAGGCCAAGTACCAGAAGCTGTACGAGCCTCTGTAGAACTAGGTGAGGATAGACTGTTGTGCTTTTGCTCTCTATAACGCGTATCGTTTTGAGGTGGTTTACAACCAAGTGGGGATAATCGGCCTGGATTGCTGCTCCTTGTAACGCGGATTGGTTTCGCCCATGAACCTCCTTCCGCTTGTGGGCCCCTCACCCCTCTGTAAACCCTGACCCTTTGTAACCCCTCCCTCGGTAAACCCTGACCCTCTTTAGGGCCCCACCTGCTTTAAACCCTGACCTTCGGTTATTTCTTACCCTCCGTAACTCCTCCACGTAGCCTCTAACCCTGGTTAACCTCTTATACTCGTCAACCTCTCACATCCTTTAACCCTTCTCTCACCCTCGTTACCTCCAGCGCTCTGAGATTGTGGCGGGAGACAAGGAGCCGGAAGGCGCTGAGCGCCCTGTAGCTGAGGCTCGACCGACTCTTGTGTCGACTCACAAGTTGTTTGTAACCCCGAACCCTCTGTAACTTCTCACGTGCGTTAACCCTCCCATTGCCTGGCCTCCAGCGCTCTGAGATTGTGGCGGGAGACAAGGAGCCGGAAGGCGCTGAGCCCCCTGCTGCTGAGGCCGGAGCCGAGGTGGAGAAGGGTGAGTTGCGGTTGAGTGTGGTGCGGTGGGTTGATGTGGGGTGCGTTGGGGTGGAAGCGGTTGAGGTTGGGAAGGGGCGGCTGACGGTGAGGCTCCAGCTGCCAAAGCTGAATCAGAGGGGTGGAGAAGATTTAGTTGGGGTTAAGTGCGGTCCCATGGGGTAAGTCTTTGGAATATGTGTGATGGGGAAGGAAAGCAATGCGGTTTGTTATCTGTATGAATGTATACTTCATCTCATTTCGTCCTCTCTCTTGTTCACCTCCACCTTTCTCGTGCTGTCTGCTTTCGTTCTTGTGCTGTGCACCCCCCTTGCTGTGCTTGAAATCCTGGCTTACTGCCATGAAGTCGGATTGTGAGGTGCCTCAAACTCCCCCCCCCCCCCCCCTCCTCTCTCTCCCTTCTCTCTCCCGTCCCGTGGTTTCTTCCGTGTGCCTGTGCCCCCCTCCACCCCCCCTCCCCCCTTCCCCCTCGGTTGCATGCAGGTGTGCCTGAGTTCTGGCTCACTGCCATGAAGAACAATGAGATTCTGGCAGAGCAGGTGAGGGGCCTAGCTATGCGAACACTGGCGAAAACACTGAGGTCTAGGGCACGGGAGCAATTAAACTACTATTATTTGTTTCATGAGCATTATTTCTTTAAGCCTTTTTATGCGTGCCGTACCGATTCTCCCCCCAACCTGTTGGATTTTGTTGTTTTTTGTTGTTGTTTGCTTTTCATTGTTTCATTGTGCCACCCATTTACCTGCCCACGTGTTTCTCTGGGTTATCAGATCACAGCAAGGGACGAGCCTGCACTGAAGCACCTCAAGGACATCCGGTGGTCGCAACTGGGGGAGGAGCTCAAGGTCAGTGCAGGGTTTAGTGTTCTCGGGAAGTAGGAGGTTTGGTGGGCAGAATAGGGTTTGGAACCTCGGGGGCACAGTGAAACACGAGCTTGCACTCAAGCACCTTAAGGATATCCGGTGGTCGCAACTGGGGGAGGAGCTCAAGGTGAGAGAGGCAGAGGGTGCTGGGGAAATAGGGGTTAGGTGGTCGTTAGGGGTATTTAGGGTTTAGGTTTGGAACTCCAGATCACAGCGAGAGACGAGCCTGCACTCAAGCACCTCAAGGACATTCGGTGGTCGCAACTGGGGGAGGAGCTTAAGGTCAGTGCGGGGAGTAATGAAGGTCAGGTCATATTGAGTGTTGGGCTGTTTGGTGGAGCATACTCTATGATACATGGTGAGGGACGAGCCTGCTCTCAAGTACCTCAAGAATATCCGGTGGTCGCAACTAGGGGAGGAGCTCAAGGTCAGTGCGGGGGAAGTTACAAAGGTCACTTCGTGCATGGGTAACGGGTTAAAGGTTTAAGTGATTGGAACCTCTTAGATTAGGCGGCAGGGTGGCAAGGGACGAGCCTACACTCGAGTACATCGAAGATGATAGATGGTCACAAGCAGGGGAGAAGCTCAGGGCCAGTGCGGGGGGGAATTACGAAGGTCAGTTCTTTCCTGGGTCTCGGGTTGATTTTTTGGAACCTCTTAGATTAGACGGCAGATGGCAAGGGACGAGCGTGCACTCAAGTACATCGAAGATGTTAGATGGTCACAAGCAGGGGAGAAGCTCAGGGTCAGTGCAGTGCGGAGAGAGTAATGACTGACACACGAGGGTTCAGGGTTTGAGAGTTCGGTGTGCCAGAGGCCAGGAGGGTTTCAGACGATTCCACATGGCTGAGGGGTTTTGTATGATGCTGGAAGGTTTTTTTTTTCTTATGAGTTGGCATCACCTCTTTCCACCTCTCGTCTCATTGAGGGGGATCCAATCCAATCGCCGCTCATAGTTTGGAGGCGCCTCAAAACAATCCATTCGCCGCTCATACAATCTCCTCTTTGTGGATGATGATGATGGTATTGTCTCTGTTCCTTCCACCACCACTACAGGGCTTCAAGCTGGAGTTCCATTTCACCTCCAACCCGTACTTTAAGAATGAGGTGGTACGTTCACTGAACATCACCCAGCCGTGCTGGCTCGATATTGTTTCTAAAGCACTTTCTTTTGGTACGTCATGTTCTACATAAAGGGGAAGGAGCCAATCTTCTTCTTGCCTCTCTTCTTGCTTCTTCCATTCTTACTCCCTTCTCCCAATCCCCCCACTACCCGCTCACTCTCCCCCCTCCACTTCCCCCTCTCTGCAGTCTCCCCACCCACTCCTCCCACTCCTCCCACCCCCCCTCCCCCTCGTCTTCCCCCCCCCACCACTCCCTCCCAACCCCCACCACCCCTGCAGCTCACCAAGTCCTACTTCATGATCGACGAGGAGGAACCGATCTGTTCCTTGCCTCTCTCTCTCGGCCTCACTTCCCCCACTCCGCCACCCACTCCCCCCGATCCCCCGCACCCCCCTTCCCCCCCCCCCCCCTCCCTCCCACCCCCACCACCCCTGCAGCTCACCAAGTCTTACTTCATGATCGACGAGGAAGAGCCAATTCTTGAGAAGGCCGAGGGGTGAGTTGCTTTGCATGTTGCATGTGTCGGCTCTCGGGATTTAGTAAGCCTGTGCATGGGCATGTTTATTCCTTCACCAACAAACTGCTTCCAGTGTTTTATATTTTCTTTGGGGGGGGTATTTTCGTTTCGTTTGGCCTGCTTTCACCTGTGTTGACCCTCCTTTCGTTTTGTCCCTTTTGTCCATCAGCACTGAGATCGAGTGGAACGCGGGCAAGAACCTGACGCAGAAGATAATGAAGAAGAAACCGAAGAAGGGGCCACTGTCTCAAGCCGACCTACCCGCTCTGTCCCTTATCCTTGACCCTTATCACAACACAGGACTGAGATCGAGTGGAATGCCGGAAAGAACCTGACGCAGAAGATAATGAAGAAGAAGCCGAAGTAGGGGTTCCTCCCCTTCGAACTCAGCTTCTTAACCCCACTCCCCTATTCTCTGTTCTTTTCTTTGCCCGTCCGTCTCATCCAACACAGCACGGAGATTGAGTGGAACGCGGGCAAGAACCTGACGCAGAAGATCATGAAGAAGAAACCCAAGAAGGGTGCCAAGAGCAGCAAGCCCATCACCAAGACAGAGCCCTGCGAGAGCTTCTTCAACTTCTTCAGCCCGCCCGCCGTGCCCACCGAGGAGGAGGAGCTTGATGAGGAGGAGGTGAGTGATGGGGCCCCTCTTCCCTCCCCCGCCACCCGCTTTCTCCCCCTCCCCGTCCTCCTCCTCCCGGCCGCCTTGTTGCTTCCCGGTTGGTTTCCCCTTAAGTTGTTGGCCCAAAAGTGCTGATCTAGCACCAAGCCAAGAGGAGCAGGGAGGGCTCTCGCAGGACCCACACCCCCTTGTGTCTCCGTCTTGGGCCCATCACCGTCTCCGTCTTGGGCCCATCACCGTCTCCGTCTTGGGCCCATCACCGTCTCCGTCTTGGGCCCATCACCGTCTCCGTCTTGGGCCCATCACCGTCTCCGTCTTGGGCCCATCACCGTCTCCGTCTTGGGCCCTTCACCAAGACGGAGCCCTGCGAGAGCTTCTTCAGCCCGCCCGCTTCAGGAGATGATGCGTCAGGAACAACCATGGAATGATCATGACCCTCCTGATTCTCTCACCCTCCCGGTCTTTTTGACCCACACCCCCTTGTGTCTCAGTCGCTCTCCTCTCACTCACTGCTCGTGGGTTGTTCTGGCTCACTCTGTTGTTCCTCCCTTGAGCAATGCCAGTCTGCCAGATGAGGAGCTTCAGGAGATGATGAATCAAGACTAAAGCATGGAATGATGTTGACCTTCTGATTGTCTCACCCCCTCTTCCTTTCTCTCTCGCTCTCATTCATTTTCCACCCCAATCTCTCACTCTCTCCCACTCCCTCCTCCTGCCCCCCTCCCCCCCTCTCGTCCAATAATGGCAGGCGGAGGAGCTCCAGGAGATGATGGAGCAGGACTACGATGTGGGGTGAGTTCTTTGCTTATATTACACACACATGCACTCACACCCTCACACACACACACTCACTCACGCTCACACTCACTCACTCATTCAGTCTCACACTCACCACTCACTCTCACACTCACACTCACTCTCACACTCACTCTCACTCACTCTCACTCACTCTCACTCACTCACTCACTCACCCACTCACTCACTCTCACACTCACTCATTCACCGCCCCCCATCTTTGATGCTTCCCGAACACCAGGTCTACCCTGAGGGAGAAGATCATTCCACATGCCGTCTCCTGGTACACTGGCGAGGCTGCTGACCTGGAAGATTTGGACGATGACGAGGATGACGAAGATGACGAGGACGACGAGGATGATGACGAGGACGAGGATGATGATGACGAGGACGACCACCCGAGGCCTGCTCGCGGAAGGGTGCGTTTTGAGTTGTGAATTTCAGGGGCAAGCACCTGCAGATTTTGTTTTTCCGGATACAGTAATATCCATATACTTCCTTTTTTGCCTGTGTTGTTTCCGTTTTTGCCCCTTTTCGTTGTGTTTGGTTTCCGTGTGGTTTTTTATGTCGCGTTATTGTGTTTGACCATTGTGGCAGAAAGCAGGGACGAAGGGGATGAAGGCAGCAGGAGCAGCTGGAGCAGCAGGGGAGCAACCTCCAGAGTGTAAACAACAGTAGAAGGGACAGAGGCACAGCTTTTCTTAGAGTTGCCTCAGAGGGTGTTTTAGATGTTAAGGTGTTTGCTCCATGCTGTGTTATTTTGTCTTAGTGACGTAATTGAAGGCTACTGTAAATGTTATCTCTAGTATATAGACCATTATTTGGAACCATATTCAACTTCACTGTTTCCTTTGTCTTGTGTAAACACTTCAGTGAGGGTGCTCAGATGTACTGTAGTATTCGGGGCTTCGCTAAACTCCGTCGCGCTGTTTTCGCGTGCTGTGCGAGAACGACGACGAGTCCAACGACAGTGCTGCCGAAACCAGCTTCCCTACAAGTGCGGCAGCAGCAGTAGCTGGAGCAGCCACAGGAGCTACTCAGCGACCACAATACGTGCCATAGCTAATTCGTGCAATACGTCCACGCCACAACCGTCGTGAAATACCCAGCGATAACCGCTCCGCGTTTTTAGATTCTAGCCTTGTAATCTCCCTGGTTTGTTCTGAGTGAATAGGTAGAACCGAGTGATTGGGTTAACTCCTCGTTACCTTTCGAGTCGACTCAGACGGCAGCCGTTCCTCGTCGCGGTATTTTAGTATCCTGCTTTTCAAAAGGGAAGTCCGGTTTACTTTCCTGGAAATCCTTGGTGCCTTCCCTGCTTTCGCTTGGACGTGGAAAGTTCAGCTTACTGTAATCCGTTTTAAGTGGACCCAGAAGTTTCAGTGTGCCGTTATCCTCTCTGCGAGATTCGCTATAAGCGCGCCAAAATGGCCGTGACGACAGGCGGTAAGGCTTTTTAAAATTCATTAGTCACCATGAAAAGTTTCCAACAGCTCAATCTTTGTAATCTCTTGCCTTCTCGTGAAGCTCTCGGCAGTGTTGCCAGGAAATCTGTTCTCCTTGAACAATCCCTTTACTCCCCTGCATCTCTGCCTGCTAACCCACCACCATATCTTACCCTCGCTCATTCCCATGCCACCTGTTCACGTGTCCACGTGTCCACTTCATCATCATCCGTCCCTTTCTGTTGAGCCTCCTCAGAAACACCTTGCCCTTTTTCGCTTTTACCCATGTGACCTATCAAATTGTGGCCATCCGTCCCCTGCAGTTCAGACATCCCTTTACTCGCATCAATCCCTCCCCATTTCAACCCACCATAGCCCTCCCTCGCTCATACCCATGCCAACTGTCCACCTGCCAACCTGTCACCTCACCATCATCCATCCCGTTTTCTAAGGCGCCTCAGAAACACCATACCTTCCCTCCCCTCACGCACTCGTACCCATGCCATATAGCCCATGCCACCTGTCCACCTCTTAGCCATCCGGCTTCTTCATCAATCCCTTTCTATCTCCCTGCTGCGTCTGTGTGTCTCCTTCCTCCCTCCTTCCTCCTTCCCTCCTCCCTCCTTCCTCCTTCCTTCCTCCTGCCTCCCTCCTTCCTCCCTCCTTCCTCCCTCTTTCGTTCCACTGTTCTCTCTCTCCTTCTCCCTCTTTCTTCCGGCTGCCCTCACCCCGCTCCCACTCCCCCCACACTTATATCGCCGCCCCCACGCGTTTCCACCGCTGCCCGCCGTGCCTGCTGCCGCCACCTCCCGGTCTCTTCTCAGCGTGAGCACCGTCACCCTGTACTTGCTTTCCTGTTTCCGAGTTGACTCACAAGTCACCTCTTTATCACTGCCTGCCTAAACTCGTTCCCACCTGCTGCCTCCACCTCCCGGTCCCTTCTCAGCGTGAGCACCGTCACCCTTTACTTGCTTTCCTAGTCGTGCTTGCTTTCTTTCTGTTCCCTTTCTCCATGTTAGTTTCCGCCTATTTCAGCTTCCAAGATGCTATCCATTCCATGTTGTCAATCAATCCCTCTTTCTCCTCCCACTCTACCCTCTCCTCTTTCCTCACTCTTCTCTCTCCACTCTCTCCTCTCTCCTCTCAGACTTGCAGGCCTGGCGTTTCTCTCCTCAGTGGGCATTGGTTTTGATTTGAGAAATTCTCAAAAGTGGCTCTCTCTTTTGTCTCTCTTCTCTCTCCACTCTCTCCTCTCCCAGACTCGCAGGTTTGGCGTTTCTCTTCTCAGTGGGCATTGGCTTGCAGCTGCTGGGATGTGTTCTCTACAACAACTGGTGGCCAATGCTTTCAGGTACAATCCCTAACCTTTCAGGTACAATTCCTAACCTTTCAGGTACAATACCTAACCTTTCAGGTACAATCCCTAACCTTTCAGGTACAATCCCTAACCTTTCAGGTACAATCCCTAACCTTTCAGGTACAATCCCTAACCGCTCTCTGCTCCCCTGTACACCCCCGTACCTGATACTGCCGATGCGGTGCCACTTTTTAGGCTAATGCAAAGTCTTCTCCCCACCGTCTCTTCCCCCCGCTCCCCCACCACCATACAACTTTCCTCCCAGCCCGGATGTGCCCGAGTGCCAGTGCCTCCTTTGTACTTAGCCTCAACACCCCTCTCCCCTTTTGAGGCGCCTCAGAACTTTTGAGGCGACTTTTGAGGCGCCTCAAAAGCCGCTCCCCCACCACCGTACAACTTTCCTCCCAGCTCGGATGTGCCCGGCCGGTGCCTCCTTTGTACTTAGCCCCAACACCCCTCCCCCCACCCCTTGCCCATACAACTCTTTTCCCAGCGCTAATCTACCTGGTACTGCCCATGCCATGCCTCTTCTTCTCCACGGCTGATTCGTCCGACTTCTTTCTCATGCCATGCCTCTATGGCCTGGCCTTGCCACAAACCCACAACACCCCTCTCCACCCCTCTCGACCCCTGTACACCCCTCCAGCCCTCATGTACCTGATACTGCCCATGCCATGCCTCTTCTTTTCCACGGGTGATTCGTCCGACTTCTTTCTCATGGGCACCGATAACGAGTGAGTGGGGCTGCTGTAGTGAGTGAGACTGTAGCGAGTGGGAGTTCACAGGGTGGGGCTGTAGTGTGTGTCCTCGTTTGGGTAAATATTTAGCCACTGCATGAAAGGCAAGTGGTTGTTTTCATGTGAGCAGAAGGACAATAGAGGCCCTGTTCGATAGCAGGGTAAACAGGCCAGTAACTGGCCAGGTTTGGGTGGGTTTTTGGCTCATTACAGTCGAAACCAGGCTCGACCGGGGAAAATCGCAGAGCGACCTCCCTCCCTGCGACTGAGCTCGAACCACCTTCGAATGCTTGGAATTCCCGGGCCTGGGTTTGGCCCATTTGTCCCCCGTACAATGCCCACACGCCCCCAATTGTACAGTGAACCACAGGCAAAACCGTCCCCCATTCCTGAACACCTGTTTCGACCAGTCTGAAAACGGGTTTCGAAAAAAATCGGGTAAACCTATGGGCAGATTGGCCAATCGCAAGCTCAGAAGGCCCTGACCGGGGTTTTATTTGATTTTCCATCTGCAATGAAGGGTAATGAGGAGGTTACTTCTGTGCTTCACCATCTCGGTTGATTGGGTAATGGTTTTGATGTGTTCTGCCGCTAGTGTACAAGGATTTCATCCCCGGTTCATCTGGGCATTGCAGAATGAAACGCTGGTTTCAAAAAATGTAGTTGCTTCAGGTTCGGGATGAAACGCACCGAACCAGCCCCACCCGTTACTCCCCCTTTGGCTATCGAACAAGGCCAGAGTGTGACTCTGATGCATGTGATTGTGGTTTGTGAGTAGATACTGGTTGATTCCTCATTCCCGTCTCTCCCCTTATCCCTCCCTCCTCTGCCACCACAATTCACCCTTCTTCACCCTTCCTCCCCATCCTCTACGTCACCGCTGTTGACCATACTCCATCTCTCTCCACCAGGTGGCAAGATGCAGCCAAGTTCCTCACCGGCTTCTCTTCGGTACGTTCCCCACCCCGTTGTCTCCCCTTTTTCTGCCCCCAGCCCCCTTGTTTCCGTCCGCTCTGCTACTGACTGCTGTCACATGCAAGCAGCCAAGTTCCTCACTCCTCCTGCTTCGCCTCCTTACTTCTCCTTGATCTTTCAACAATTCCCTTTTGAGTTTGCCCTCTTGTTTCTCTGCTGAGTTTCCACGGAGCCATGCTGCTCACTCTTGCCCCTTGCTTCATCTTCCCCCAAAACTCAGAACCCTAATTGCCTCAGGCTGGCAGCCGAGCATTCTCTTCTTCCTACACCACGGCCACCTAGCTTTCAGAGCCATGCTTTTCACAATTGCTCCCGTCCTCATCTCCCCAAATGTTCGAATCTGCACCCCTAACCGCCTCAGACTGGCAGCCTGTGCCACAGCCACCTCATCCTGTGCCACAGCCACCTCATGATTCTTGGAGCCATGCTTTTCACTCTTGCCCCTTGTTGTTCTCCCCGGCCATGAACCCTAACCCCCCAGATTGGCAGTGTTGCCATTCCCTTCATCCTACACCATGGCCACCTCATAACTCTTGGAGCCACGCTTTTCATGTGTGCCCCCCCTTACCTCATTACTCACCAAAACTTCAATCCCTTACCCCGAACTCCCCCAGATTGGCAGTGTTGCCATTCCATTCATCCTGCACCACGGCCACCTCATAACCCTCGGAGCCACGCTCTTCACCTTTGCGGCCTTCATTGTGCTCAGCGGCACTCTAGTCCTCTTTATTCGGGTCTCTATGGATGATGGCCCCTCCTGGAGTGGGTATTAGGTTTGGCTCGGCTGCCTGGAGGAAGCAAGTCTATGCAGTGATTCTATTGCATAAATAGTTAGTGTACAGCATTACCTATAATAGTTCCCTTTCATTCAAGGCTTCCCTAAACCACCTGGAGGTGTTGTTCAGTGTGTATATTTCTCAGAAAGTGAATGCAACGGAATGATTGGAATAGAAACGAATGGGGTACAAATAAGCAACCCTAGAAGCTGTACCCCCTAAAGTGCAACTCACTACAGCCTATCATATCAATGTTCAACATTTGACACACCCCCATAGGCTAAGTGAGGGGCATCAAAGCAAGCAAGGTGAACAAACGGTCACAAGACCAGTCAAAGCAAGAACCAAGGCAAGCTCAGGGTGGATCTCAAGGATACCACACAAATTCCGAGCGCAAGCAAGCGGCCACAAGGCCAGTTCAAGAGTTCACTAGGATATAAATACAAAGCACAACAAGCAGAGCAAGCAACAGGACTACAGCAACCGAGGGCCTACCTCAACAAGCCCCAACTGCACACAAAACCTGTGGTGATCACCAAGCGCCAAGGCCTTGGTGAAGACGTCTGCAGTGTTGGCCTCTGAGGCCACAAAGTCCAGGCGTGCCTGGCCGCGTCGCTGCAGCTCTCGCAGGAGGAAGTACCTCACGTCAATATGTTTCACTCTGCTCTCCAGTCGAGGCTCTCGACACAGGAGGATCATGGCCTTGTTGTCAGCGTACAAGGTCGGTGCAGAGCGAGGCCACTCACCAAGGTCGGCGAGCAAGAAGGTCAACCAGCGAAGCTCCTGTGCCGCCATGGCACCAGCGTAGATCTCTGCCTCTGCACTGGAAGTAGCCACAGACGACGACCGTGTAGACCTCCACGACACAGCACCAGCTCCCAGACTGAAGCAGTAACCCTGAGTCAAGCGCTGAGTCTCCACGTCGTCAGCGTAGGAAGAGTCACAGTGACCAGTCAACGCCACTGGCTGAGTCCCTCCAAGCACAAGCCCCATGCCTGATGTAGTCGCCAGGTACTTCCACCCTCACAGCAGCTGTCCAGTGGACAGGACGGTGTCTCCCAATCGCAACAAAGCGAGAGAGGACGCTGAGGGGAAAGGCGAGGTCCGGCCGAGTACAAGTCATCAGGTACATGAGGCAGCCCACCAACTCTGCGTAGGGACCACTGGGCTCAAAAGGCTCGTCGGGAAAGGGGCCAGTGAGTCTGTGGTCAACAGCAAGAGGTGTGGGCTGTGTGGTGGAGAACTGGAAGTCGAACCGCCGAAGGACCTGCTGCACCATGTGTGACTGAGTCAGTGTGATGGTGCGAGCGGCTCTGTCCCTAGTGATCTGCAGGCCAAGGTAGCGCTGCAGTTCACCTAGGTCAGTGCATGTGTGTCTCTTCTGCAGTTCGGACTTCACCTGAGCCAGAGCTGCCCTGTCTGCTGTGGCAAAGACCAAGTCGACGACGTACACTAGTATAAAGAAAGGAGTGGAACCAGTGCGAACAAACAGCGACGGGTCGGCAGAGGAAGGACAAAACCCAAGGTCACGAAGCGTGGAGCGAAGAGTGTCGTGCCACTCACGGGGCGACTGGCGGAGACCGTAGACTGGCCGTCTCAGGCTCCACTGGGTCCCAGGTGGGAAGGTGTCAGTGAAACCAGGAGGGCGGCGCAGCCAGATATCCTCGTGTAGTCGGCCCTGGAGAAACGCAGTAGAGAAGTCAAGGGAGTGCAGCTCGTAGTCTCGCTGTGCTGCTACGTGCAGTAACACCCGAAAAGTAGTCATCTTCGGGGTCGGGGCGAAGGTCTGGAAGAAGTCAACTCCCTCACGCTGACTGAAACCCATAGCCACGTAGCGCGCCTTGAACACAGGCGGTGAACCAGGCGGCCGCTTCACCTTGAAGAGCCACATGCCATCGACTACGTTCGCCCTGGGAGGGGGAACTGCGTCGACGTAGGTGCCTGTGGATCTCCAAGACGCTAACTCCGAGGCCATAGCCGCTTTCCACTGTGAGGCCCACGCCCCTGACACTGCCTCGCGGTAAGTGCGAGGAGTCGGTATGTCAAGGGCGTCGGGGTCTCCCTCAGGGGATAGCAGCATGGCACAGACAGAGGGAGAAGCGGCTGCCCAGTACTCCAGCTCAGACTCTCTGTCCTCTAGGACGTCACAGCCAAGGGCAAACCCACCCCCGACGGACAGAGGACGGGAGGGAGGAGCTGGCACCACACGGGTGGTGTAGTCAAGGCGACTGGCGGCAGCAAACTCAGCGACAGCGGCAGTGAGAGCCGAGACAGACGACGGAGGGAAACGAGAGTCGGTGACAAGAGTGGCGAGGACACGAGAGACAACAGGACGAACAGCGCGGTAGTAGTCAGTGACAGGAGTAGGGGGGAAACGGAGAGAGGACGGAGGTGGACACGGGAGAACGGACTCAGGAGGAGGACGACGAAGAGACGAACAAAGGAGGGCAGTGCGGAGGTCGGTAACGGGAGACGAGTGACGAGAACGCGGAGGGCAAGGACGGACACGAGAGTGCGGGACACTAGGTGGAGGAGACTGCGGTGGAGGAGAAGACCAGACCGCCGGACGGGCGTCAGGAGGAGGAAACGTGGGACCAAACGCTGGAGGGGACGGAGTGTGAACAGGAGGAGAGGAGGGAAGACCAAGGGCCCGAAGGCCACTCACGGGTGGGAACAACTGCCGCTCCAGAGGGAGCTGCTGTGGTCGCAGCTGCGGCGGCGGTGTCTGCTGCTGCTGCGGCTGCTGCTGCTGCCGCTGCTGCTGCTGCCGCTGCTGCTGCTGCCGCTGCTACTGCTGCTGCTGCTGCTGCTGCTGCTGCTGCTCCAGCAGGTCCAACTGCCGCAACTCCTGCCGCTCCCTCTCCAACAGCACCTGCTCCTCACGCTCACGCCGACGGGCCGCCTGGAGACGTGTGTCGTGGCGGTGGGGAGGCGGAGTGGACTCCGCAGAACCAGTGTCTCCTGCTCCAGTCTCCTCAGAACCAGCACCTCCAGTGCCAGCGCCTCCAGCACCAGCACCCCCCGGACCAGCACCTCCTGTGCCAGCACCTCCAGCTCCAGCACCCCCAGAACTAGTACCGCCAGTGCCAGGACCTCCAACTCCAGCACCCCCAGAACTAGCACCTCCAGTGCCAGCACCTCCAGCTCCAGCACCCCCAGAGCTAGCGCCACCTGCGCCAGCACCTCCAGCTCCAGCACCCCCAGGACTAGCACCTCCAGTGCCAGGACCTCCAGCTCCAGCACCCCCAGGGCCAGCGCCACCTGCGCCAGCACCTCCAACTCCAGCACCCCTCAAACGAGCACCCCCGGACCGAGTACCGCCAGTGGCTGCACCTCCAGCTCCAAAACCAACCGAGTCCACAGTAGCCTGTCGCGGAAGTACCGAAGGCTGCTGAGGGGACTGTGAGGAGGACTGCGGGGAGGGAGCCGCTACCTGACGCGCGACCGAGGGTAGAGGGGTAGCGTGAGACACACCTGACGGGGCAGGACCAGGGGGGGGTGGGGGTACCGGAGGAGCGGGAGCAGGGGGAAGAGAGGGTGCGAGGAAAAGGGGGGGAAGGGGAACCGGGAGACCTCGACACGGGTACCTGGTGTAGTAGGACACTGACTCGTCGAACCGGACTTCACGGGAGTCTAGGAACTGGTGGAGGGGCGGGTGGTAAAAGGACCAGTCGGCCGAGGCTACCGGGAAACCAAGGAAGACACAGGGGACGGCGCGAGCCGAGAGCTTGTCCGCACAGGTGTCGCGGACAAGCGCAAGGCAGCCCCAGACACGAAAAGCTGACCCAACACCAGGGGACCCGGTCCAAAGACTGGTCGGTGAAGCCTCTGGCCGCGAGATGCGCGGCTGGAGGTTCAGCTGGTGAGCGGCGTAGCGAACCGCGTAGGGCCACAGAAAATGGGGCGCACGGGCATGAATCATGGACGTGCGGGCGATGTCCATGACCAAGCCAATGCGGCGCTCAGCAACCCCATTCTGCTGTGGGGACTCCGGCAGCGTCCAGGACTGTACAATGCCCTGCTCGCCGCAGAATCCGGCAAGAATGCCTGAGCGAAACTCACCCCCACGGTCAGAGTGGAGACAGGAGACACGACGGCCACGAGTGCCCTCAGTGGCTAGAAGCCACCGAATCAGCGTAGAAGTCACCTCGGACTTCTTCGCGAGAGGAAACACCGTGGTGTACCTGGAGAAGTCGTCGACGACCACCAAAAAGTAGCGCTCCCTCTCAGGTCCCTGCGTAGGTGCAGGGCCCCAGACATCCAAGTGGAGTGTCTGGAAGGGAGCAGTGGCCGGACGAAGGGAGGAGGAGTGCGGAGTGGCACGAAGACGGCCGGCGACGCAAGGAGTGCACGGCGGCGCAGGCGAGGGAGGGAGCGACGGGAAGACGCGAGGGAGACCTGAGACAAGACGGTGACTGGCCATAGTGCGGAGGCGGGGGATCGACGCGTGGCCAAGACGGTGGTGCCACAAGACGGTCCGGTGGGTGAAAGACCGGCACGAGCAAGACGCAGCAACTAGACCGGACACAGCAACCTGACCGGACACAGCAACCTGACCGGACACAGCAACCGGTGGGGACGCAGTAACCTGACCGGACTCTGCTACCGGGGGGGACGAAGCAACCTGACCAGACGCAGCTACCTGCGGGGGCGGAGTGTGCAGGACGAAGAGACCTGAGTGGGGCTCTCTGGTGAACGTGGCAAGAACTGCCCCGGTGGAAGAGTCCGTACAGATCGCAGTCCTCCCGTGCGCAGGAAAAGTGACTGTGATCCCCCGGTCCTGAAGGTATCCAACACCCACCAAGTTCCGAGAGAACGAGGGGATGTAGAGACCAGTGAGGAAACCAGAGGGGACAGCTGGGCACGGGAGAGTGGTCGAGCTGCGAGCAACTGCTGGTCCTGAAGTAGGATCAGCCAGGGCAACTGGGACTGGAGCCGAAAGAGGTGTGACAGTGGTGTGGTCGCGAAAGAAGCACTGGGACGCGCCGGAGTCCAGC